GTGGGAGACGTTCAAACTAATATCACGTAATTTACGTCTCTTTGATGATTGGTTGATATCAGAAGAGAGGTTAGCCTCCCTTGCGAGGGTTCTTTTCTCAAAACTTCTCAGCGCTGAAAGTGAAATGGGGAGGCTGTGCCTCCCCTGCCTCCCCCGACGAGCCGCCACTGTCAAGGTGTAGGTATAATTTTTTATTTTACCGTATGCCGATCATTTATCTTCTATAGTCTTTGATCGTAGCGCTCTGCCTATACTCTTAATCGGTGGTCCTATATCATACAGTGAGAGAGGTTCAAAGACGGGCGTTTTCCCAGTCTTGCGACCAAAGATAGCCTATGATAGTTTTCTGACAGTGTCAGAAATTCAGCATGATCAACGCACAGTGTGTTTGCGGCAATGACCTGCGTCTACTCGGCAGCCAATGAAATTGCAACATGAAATGACGTATTGATCCACGCGACCAGCGGCGCTACAATTTCAATGCCATGGAGGCAAAAAAAGTAGAATGTATACTGGTATGTGGGATACCCATAAAGAACAAATTCTTGTTGAGTTGTGGCAGCAGAGGGCATGTTTGTACGATGTGTCCTCTAGCTGCTATCATGACCGCACCAAAAAGGAGCCATGAGCGGGTCCATATTGCCCTCTTTCGCCGGCGCCTATTCTTTGTTTCAGCACACATGAAAAGCACAACTGCCAAAGCGCGATCCATCTTAATGTACCGGTATTTGTTTACCACTAGCGCATGCTGATGACGTTGCGCTAATGTGTGTCGCAGCCTACGATTCAATAGGTGTCATCGTACAGTCTAGCTTGTCGTACCCAAGTTTAAACGATCCATGTCGCATAGTGTGATAAAGTAATGATCTTATAGGATTGCTAAAATCGTGCAGTGTATCCCGGGCTTAAGGCATCACATATTTGTCTATTTAAAATCAATGTGGTGAACACACAGATGATCACACACCACACTATAAATATGTGCTTTTTTAAGTCTTTTATTATCTTATTTGCATTTTTAGAGCACTTTTAGCTGTGCAGTAGCGCAGGCGTTTACATTAGTTTAGCGGGGAAGGTCCCGAGGTTGCCAGATTTGCGTAAAAAAATCAGCCAAACATCCATTCAAAGCTAGGCGGAAAACTGCAGGCTTAGAAATACTGTAAGACTTGGCAACACTGGAAGGTCCTGGCAGATCGCATGCCGGCTTTTGCCTGAAAAAAAGGGTTCAGTGAATCTGAAAATGCACACACTGGAAAAACTGCTACATATAACGACTTACTTGGGGACCTTGATATAAATGTAGCGCAGTAAAAAGTACGATATTTGTCTTTCAAATGTAGTGAAGTTGAAGTAGCAAGTTTCCAGAAAAAATAATACTCAAGTAAAGTACAGATACTCAAAAAGTGTGCTTAAGTACAATACTCAAGTAAATGTACTTCGTTACTGTCCACCTCTGGTCATCCATAACAAACATCTCTTTATCGTGGTTTATAACATCACAGTTTGGATATATAAACAACAGTTAAGTTATTTTACAACAACCTATTTATGGAATTACTGCTTTAGGAGCATTACGAACAACCAAGGAATCCGCTTAGTCAACAATTACTCATATGGTAAATGCTAAACAAACACCATAGGTTATCCAGGGATTTTAACACACAACAGTCAGAGTAAACAGAGTTTACAGAGAATGGTGTGAAAAACAAGCAAAAAATAAATGAGCTAGTGAGGGACAATTCTGTCGGTGAACATGTCTTGGTTCAAGCTGACAAGAAAACAACAGATTTTACTTGTTAACACCTATTCTTGCTTTCCGTGCATTTTCCATCCTGGAATAATTCGTTCACAACTGAACAAATACTTATAGCCCAAACTATACCTTTGGAAGAGGACCCTCTACAATCCCTTATTGCAGTTTGTTAAGATTTCCTATGACTATCCACTTTACAGTGAATTAGATCTGGAAGAAGAAACTAGTTGACTACAGGTAAGGGTCTCGTCTCAGGAGATGTCTGCGTTGTTACACCTTTGAAATTTACAATCAATTTAACCCACATAATTCTACTTTTTTATGACCACAGTGACTACTAATCTAAACCAGTAGCTCCTTTAGGGGAAGGAGAATGACACAGACCTGAAACTAGGGATCTGAATGCTGCAACAATGGGTCTGTCCTGCTCAACATAACAGGTGCTTTCACGGTCATTTGAAATTTCAGACTTTGTGATTAGAAAGACCAGATTGTACAGATTGTTACAGACATTTATTCAAAATATACAAGATACTACATACAAAAATACTATGCATCAAACGATGTAAACATGAGCGCAACCAATAGTATGCCTCACAGTTTTAATATAAGACAGTTGTGATAAAACCTTTTCACATGGTCTCATTTGTGGCTCATTGATCATTTAAATGTAACAATTTAATAATTTAATCTCAGTTTTTTACTATTGAATTGCATGTGTGTATTTAATAATCACAGACCCAAAGCCTAAATGCATCTGTTGATTGCTTATGTTTAATGTCTTAATTCCGGGAAAATGAGTGAGGAGTTAGCCAGCTAACTCTAGTACTACAGAACATTTACTATTTGACAGCCATGTGCAGTCAAACATTATTAAACATTATAGCAGCAATGAATCTGAAGCACTTTGCATTTGCACAAAAAGTTTAACATTAGCACATTAGTTCTACCACATAACATTGGCTGACAAATGGATAAACCTATGTTCACATTTGTCTGTACAATAGTCAATGGTTTATCACAAGGCATGTTCCGCTACAGACTTTACCTAAATATATTATGATACTCTCTGATCAAAGTATTACTTAGCCATTTTTGTCATGTGATTTCTTACTTGCAGCATACTGATTCTAATATTGTGATTCAAATGCTGCTTAATAATATTTTATTAAAAGTAATATGTGATGCAGAACACCTTTTACTCTTCCTCAAAGGCACTATACTCTAATTAGCTACAAATATTCAATCTCTTGAACTCATCGTGGAACGAACTGACACTTTATATATGTAAAGACTGTCAACCTAGCAAGGTTAACTAAGGGCTCTACGACTATATGAGTCATCTTTGCTTTACGAAGTAAGTCATAATTACACTTGCAATGTATTATTGCAACTGATGTAGGATGTAATCAATTACAAGAGACCGATTCCCCTATAATTAGCTCACAGATGGTCAGTATTTCTTAGAATCTAGATAGGATATGCATGTAATGATACATCTGCACAAAGGCATTATTAACATCAACATTAAAAAGCTAACATATTGTAAGTATTGTATAATGATAAGAGAAAAATTATCTTGCATCTCCTCTTTCTTGCTACAATTCACAACCCGATTTGCTTTTCTTGCAGGACCTCCAGCTTTATAATCGGGAGCCAATGGAATGCTTTCTTTTAATGGGTATGATCTGGTGACCTCTCTGCTCCATTTTGACAGTATGGTTTTGCGTTCACTCTCCTGTCCGCCTTAACGAATCTCATGGAGAGATGTCTAGACTTTGAAGATATACAGATATTTCTGTCTCTGTTTGTGTTTGCAGCAGAAGAGCCAAGCGTAGAACTAGCTGTAGTCAAGCTGTCAAATTCAATCTTCATTCGCAAGAGAATAATAGCACACTCTCTCACCTACTCTTTAAGAGGACAAACACTACCTTTGTTGCGGAATGGAAAATTGCACACTTCTTTGTTGTATTTTTGTGACTGTTGTTAAACCCATTTCCACCAACATTTATTTTGAAAATGAGTTCTGTGGGTGGTAGGAAGTGACAGTCTAAGCTTACACTATAACGTTACATCATATATTAAATCTAAACTAACCTTTTCATTAGAGTTTAGTTTTCAGTTGCTTTTTCAAAAATTCTCTTTTTGCTAATTGAAACTAGCAAGTAGATTAACCTCTTGATACAATATCCCTTTGCCCTAAATGGCTACATTCATTAAAAAAACTACCTATAATTCTATTACAGGTACCACCTGTTTTCCACCTGCATAAGCATTAACATTATCCAAAATCTAAGACGTATATTTATGAACTTAAAGTTGCTACATCTACAGAGACTGAGTTTCATGATTGATGGTTGAGCTCTTCAAAGTTTGAAAGCTGCTTCATCTGTTCCACTTGCATAGAGTGCCTTCTCACAAGCTTCTTATTTGTCCTGAGGTTGCCTCTCTTTGGTGAGTTGGGTGCTATGGGCGCTATTGGTCTGATACCTGCTGCAAGTGGGGATGAGGGTTTGCTGCTTGCCCCTATATCTGGAATCGGGGGGTTAGGGTTGACATTTAATGGGGGAAGGTGACCTGGGCGGGTGTGGGATATATAGTCCAGCAATAGCGTTCCAGAGCCGCGCCGCTCCAGTAGGCCAGGTGCTCTGCATCTGGCTGTGCTAGGGGAGGAGGTACTGGGATTGCTGTCCAAGGACTCTCGTGAGCCTGTAAGCATAGCAAGAGGGGATGTATTGAGCTTCCTCCTCTCCAGAGGTGCCTTCGGAGAGTCTAGCATGCTGGAATCTGAGTACAGCTGGGAGTCTGAGTCGTAGTGTTCGTTCCCCAGTCTCCTCCGGTGCACTGTGTCTCTGAGGCTAACTGGCCCCAAGTTTCCTCCAAAGCCCTCCTGCTCCGTGGGGACAGTGCTACGTCGTGCGAGGGGCTGGTGCTGTGCCAGAGATCTCTCATAGGAGACTTTGGAAGATGTCGGAAGGGATGAAGTTGGCGAGATTTTTGTGGTCTGATCTCCCACCATCGGAAACAAGATATCTTTTCCATCCACACTGTTATGCCGGGACAAAGTGCCTCTTTTGGACAGGCTCAGTCCATTGACACCTGCGACAACATCTTCGTCTGAGTTGGCTCTCTTGCTCTCTTCATTTGCAGCCACCAAGACTGAGGGGGCAATCAGACCCCAAGGCTCTGACTGTAGACGCTTCAACTGGGGTAGACGAGCCCTCTTGGGGTTCACGGGCTTCTTACTGGGGGAAGTAAATCCATTGGAAAGTTTGGCTGCTGTGTTTGAGGCTGACTTAAATTTTGTTTGAAAATTGAATACAGTGTCTTGCTCCTCCTCTTTGCTGGGAGATGGCGATGCATGAAGATCTATCTCTGATGGTGAGGCACAAGGTGCAGATGAGGTCCTCTCATCCAACTCTGGAGAAGGAGGAACATTCAGGTACTGCTTGGTGGTTTTGGTTCCAGATGGCGATTTGTCAGTGGTAATGATGATGACCTCCTTGCCTTTGGCTTTGCAGGTATCAAGGAGAACTTTTAGGGTTTCTTTATCATCTGCATTGACAGCGTAGACTAAAGCAGAAGATGCATGACGGTCCTCCAGGCTTGGATCAGCCCCATTAGTCAGTAGAAGTGAGACCACCTCATGTCCTGCCCTGTGGCTGCATGCGTGCATAAGGGCTGTCCTTCCAGCTTTGTCTTGGATATTAGGGTCAGCTTTGTTGTCCAGAAGGTACTTGACGAGCTTAGCCTTGCTGACACTCTGCTGGTCAGAGTGTTTGGACATGCAGGCCACCATGAGTGGCGTCTCTCCACGATCGTTGCTTTCATTAATGTAGGCCCCACCTTCCAGGAGAAGCCTTGTAAGGCGCAAACGCCGAAGCCACACTGCTTTCAGCAGAGAGTTCCCATCCGTCCTGAGCTCCAGCACGTCAGCCATCACCCAGACTGGACCCAAATCAGCCTCAGTCCTGCAAGGCAAGAGCAGACTGCTACTACAGTCATCAAACAGATCCCAGAGACATTTCCATGTCACAAACACTTCAAATTTTAGGGATAAGGAAAGGTGATGTTGATGTGTTAAACCTTGCATGAAATCACTAGACTGTTTTGAAGAGCCACCAGGTGGCAGCCTGAATGCGCAGGAATGAGTTATTGGAAGAGACGCTGAACTGACAGGTGGATCAGGTGCGAATGGAACTTTGAATTTGCGTGTTGTTTGTCTAAATGCGATTGAAATTTCTTAGATGAGTTGCATATCAAAACGTATTTACATATATAAATATTTAAATTGGTTTTGTTAGTGACTGTTCTCAATATATATATATATATATATATATAATTTTTTTATCTGAATTTAATATATAGTGATTAACAAAGCAATATGCTTTCCATTCAGCGACATTATTAAATAAATGAATTTCAGTTTTTTTCTTATTATCGTTTCTGTAGATTTATTTTATAGACTGCTTTTAATAATTTGATAACTGTTTGAAATTGTATGGGCTTATTAAAAACCAAGAAGGGTTTTAATCAAGGTTAGCTGATTGCATGTGATTTTGAATGCGGATATAGTATGACGGAATTAAAGGATTAATAATGCATTTTAGTTTAGTGTGAATGATGTTTCGTGTTACATAGACTTCATATATTTGCGTTTTCAGATAATCACAGCGTTAGCGATTTGGCACTGTCCATGGTCCTGAGAGCATGAGAAAGATCAGTAAACATCTGTGATGCGCGCTTTGAGAATAAAACCCTCTCTCAAAATTGTACAATTTATAATTCCATATGCAGCTGTATCCACCTCTGTGTAAATCAGAACTTTGGTCTTTCCGTATTCAGCTGCATTTTATATTATCTCAAAAGTATTTGTGTGCGTGTGAATACGAGTTCCCTAAAAATGAATTTCGTTTAACATTGTAATGTTAACAAACATTTTGCATCATACTCATTAAATAGGCAAAATATAAGACAATTAGTCCAAACGTTTAATGCGTTTCTAAGGTAATTGGACACCTAAACAGATTAATTAAGTTGTATAATGTCCTTACCTGGTTGACGCACAGGTTTATCATTGCAGAATAAGTCCACTGTAATGCTCTCCAGTATTCTCTACAAGCTATGGAGAGGCATACTTTCTCAGCACAGCTCGTGTAGATATTTAGTTCAGACCCAACAGAACTGTCCTATTTTACGTTTACTCCTACCGTGCAGCCACAAGGACGCTCCAACCCCACTGCTTTTGTTATGCAAGAGACCAGTCCAATCGCTATTCCTATTTGCGTACCCAAGAATCACACTAAGACGTTGAGGTTATAAATAACTTCCCCCTTTTTCACTTCGTCAATGAAACGTGAATCTGATTGACGTCAGAATATACAAAAATAAGTCGGGTCTGGTGTGAACCTGTCATATGTTGTCATGATCAGCACAAACAAACAAACATT